ATACCAGAGTGTTCAGCCATCTCTTCTGACAAGACTTTTAAGCCAGCCAGAGCCCTAGCAATTGAGCCATCAGGGTCGGTATTCATTGGAATGTAGGTGCAACATTGTTGTCCAATCATAGTACACACGCCCCCTTTTTTTGGCCAAAACAAAGTCTAAAGCCAATCTATTTTGATATGACATGATAGAGGTAGCTGCCAATTGTTCCTGAAACCCAAAGGCCAAATCTCTAGTGAAATTAGTGAGGCGCTGAACATTGAAATGAATGTAGTTTATGCAATCTACATTTTTGTTTAAGGTCACCCACCAGAAAAGAGCAGACTCAAAGCCTGCTGCTACTTGATCTACTAACTTGTACTCATTTGGGATGCCGCGGGGAACACCAATTGCATCAATATACGTGGGGGATAATCTAGCTGGATCAAACAAGGTGTCCTGCTTTATTCTGTGTCCTTTAAGGGGATGACCAAAGCCTGATTCAATGTCAGAGACTGCAGCTCCGACTACTGTGACTGGAACTATGAGTGAAATCATAGTGCAGGTACCAGACCAATCAGGAGGAAGAGCATTAAGTAATCTATTACCTCCACAGTACCAAAACACATCCGACCGGGCATAGGTCAGACGTGTAGCATTTGCCCATGTTGTAAAATTATGTGTGATGTCACACCACTCAGGAGAGATGGTACCTACATTAGTTCCAGTAACATTAGCCTTAGTTACACAAGTGTAGTTGTTTTTGACTGCAGTAAAGATAGGAGGTACTGCATCTTTAGGTGCCAATGGGTAATAGTGTTCCAATTCTCTGCATGCAGGTGTTTTTGGATTTTCAGTCATGTGCAGCTCAAGCATGCAGTGTGTGTGATTTGGATTTGAGAGGAGAGAAGGTACCATTAACAGGGCAGGACGGGGTCCAGCACATACAACACAGTCAAAGGAAAAAAAAAAAAAAAAAACAAAGTTTCCCCATAATGCCATTACACCTATTATTGAGTTAAAGAAAATCAATAGACATAAGCAATTAATAAATGAACGGCAAATAAATGTCACATGCATAACAATGTGTGCTTAGTCCTTCACCATTTGACTGAATACAATTCCACTTCAACGTGCCTCCTACTACAAATTAGCTCCACTCCTCTGCTCAGTAGTGCAGCCATCCACTTTCACCACAAGGGGGCTCACATAGAAACAAAAGCCTTTGACACTGGTGAGGAATCTTCTAAAACATTCCTGGATCCTGATGATAATCTGGATTAGGACCAAAAGGTAATAGATTATCCTATCACTCCAAAACAAAACAAAAAAACAAACAAACACCCAAATTCATTATTTTTTGAGTTATGCTGTGAAACAAAAACAAAACAAAAAGTCAGGAAAACCACCACCTCCACCTCTCTGGAGGTAACCAACAGTCACCTCTCTTTCACTTTACACTGCTGCCATCGTTTGGTGGAAAGCATATGCTTATTTTTAAATGGAGGTAAAGCCAACAGGTTCATATTTTATTTTTTGTAAGGGACCATTAGTGTGCATATTAGACCCAAATATTGCTATTTGGTGAACTGTACCTGACCAAGCTAAAAGAACATTATCATTCCCTTGCTTGTGTGATGCAGTTCTGCCATGTTACTATTAACTTTGCTACTATGTCAGTATTCAGTACAGGCAGCTATTCATAAGATGGTTTTACCTTTTTCTTCTGAATTGTCAAACCCAAAAACTAAATAATTGTTCTTAAAATGCCCTGTTACTGCACCAAAAATGTCCCTTGCATAATGAAAGAACATGTAACACAGAGACCAGATGTTTGGCTGATTATTCAAGTGGTTTTAGCTTTTTGTGCTAGATAGTGTTACTACTATTATTCTAGTAACGGGGGGTGGGGGTGGGAACTGGATTACTGAAAATTAAACAGGTTAAAAACAAATTTGTAACTGATGAAATTATCCAATAAGTCATTCTATTAAAAAAACAAAACAGTATGGCCAATGTCAAGTGTATAGCAAAGAATTTTCAGCAAATTAAGGAAATCCGATTATCCACCGTTCATGCCCTGGTAGGACCTGTTGAGGAAAGTCCCACCAGATGGCACCCTGGTACTCTTGGACAATTTGGGTCATCAACAAGCACATACTGAATACAAAGGTAATCAAAAGATCAAATAATATGCCACAACCATCACTTGTCAACACAGCTGTTGCTGTGTGGTTTTGCAAGGCTGGTGTGTGTGTGTGTGTGTGTGTGTGTGTGTGTCACCTTTGCACAATGTTCTAAAAATAAAAAGTTGATTCATACAAGCCTATGCTAAACATTGTTTTTCAATATCTGTTAACATTTTTGGAACATATACACACACACTGTATGTTAGCGACACACACACACACACACACAGGGCTTTTATCTGTAATTATACTGACAATAGTGCAGCACTAAAACATGGCAGTAAAATAACTTTTGTACTTCTCATCAAATTAAATATCGTTTCAGGATTTGTGGTATATTCTAGACCGAAATGCAACCAAGCAGAAAATCTACAGCATTTATGGAGTTTTATGTAAAGTACGTCGAAGGGTAACGAACAGACAAAACTCACAAAAATACATGTAGTTAAGCCAAAAAGTCTGACAAAACAAGCTCAAATGCTCTATTAATAAAGTCGTAAGCTTAGTGAGATCAATTAATTATAACTGTGATAACATGAACAGTTTGGCCTATAACACTGAACAAAACAGAGAATATACAAATGATCATGCAGAACAGAATTCAGGCAAAAGCTGACACAAGGCACCCAAAACAAAAACACTGAAGGAAAATGATGTTTGAAATGACACAGGATACAACAAAATTCAACAGAACATAAGAATCCAAATAAACCTGGGACACAAGAGCCCATACACAAACACCAGAATCCATGAACAGCCCTTGAGAGGCGACTACATGAGGCAACAGTGGAGCTACGTGAGGAACTTGGGAATAAACATAGATCCAAGAACATGAAGTCCAAACCAAGTCAAAGGTAAGTTGTGACAACGCTCATCCAACCAGGTGACAGTCTGAAGACAAACTACAGAGCATGCGTGGCTGGCTTAAAAACTGTCAAAAATGGTAGCTGATTAAAAACAGAGGTGACTAATAAAGGCAAGTAATGACTGATATGAAGCTGGAGCAGATGATCGTCATAAACAAGTTTGATAGAGATTGTGACAAGAGGTGGGCAAACGCAGAAGTGTTAAGAAGAAACATCCAAACAGATCACTGTGGATCTATAGGAGTTCCAGATACTGATAGGTACACGTTAGGTGGTGGGGGAGGAGGTCTGTTACATTATTGGCTTATGTTGAAGCAAGAAATATATTGAACAAATTTGTCTGAGTTTGTAAGGCTCTCAAGAGTTTTTCACTTTTAATGCACCACCACTTGAAACTGCCTTGCCCACAACCACAACTACTCATTTCTTCCTTTATTTGCACATCTAGCCTCCAACATCCTGTGGAACACAAGTCACTTCTGTTCTGAGCTGTCAGTCTCAGTGTCTGGTCAGGGGCTGAGAAATGGCTAGCCACAGTTTTGTCAGGGTAGCTGCTACGTGTGTGGCTCTTCTCGTTTCACAGACTATTACCCAAATCACCCGTACACAGTTAATCAACTAAAAAAAATAAATAAATAATAAAGCAACCAAGACACTTCTCTAATAAAGTTAAAATGCCTTTATTATACCGACAAGTTCTATAAACAGAGCACGATTAAAAGCAACTTCAACACATTTCTGCATTTACAGAGAAAACATGGTAAGGCTAACTCAAGTAGGCAGAGGAAGTAACAGGTGAAATCATTTAGTAATCAAGACAAGCAGTCTAGTTGTTAGCCGCTCAGCTCCTCATTTTCAGAAAGCCTAATGGAGATGCCAGCGGATAGCATCTCTAGATAGAATATATCTAATAATATAGTAAACAGCAAAACATCTAACATGTTTACATCTGATACACAAAATAAAAATGTGGAAAGGAGATTTGACAGTTGATACATCTGGTTGACAAATAGTTTTGTCTCCATCTGTCTGTGATTATTGCATGAAACTATTAAAACAAGTTTAAGCTGTCAAACTGGATATTCAACAAGCCACCTGAGGCCATAATCAGCACACAGCCATTAAATCAATTTTCACAGTGATCAATGTCTCGCACATAGTGCACAGGAAGGCCTTTTTCACATTTGATTACAATTTTCTTGTTGAGATTTTTACGACTGTAGTGACATTTGGCAGGCTTGGTTCCCTGTTTCTCCAGCTTACAGACAACAATGTCAAAGCGTTGGAGGCTTTTGGTCAGGCCTTGATATGGTTCTCCCTTATCTCGACAGACAGATTTGACTTTGGTGGTGCTGGCTAGGATGAAGGTATTTTTCTCCTTGCACAGGTTGATTTCGACCCCGGACATGGCTTTATCACAGTTTGTAAAGGTTTTTGTATAGATGTGCTGTTCTTTGAATTTCCCAAAGAGCTTTTTGACCTTTGCATCCTGAGAGAACACAGGGACAAAGACAAGCGCCAGCAGCAGGCAGACAAACTGGATCTTCATGATTTCCTGGTGAAGATAAGGCAACAGAACATTTAGTGCAATGAAGGCAGCAGTTGGCAGCATTGCTCTGGGAATGGCTGTTGGCCCGACAGTCCCCCACTTTGGCTGAGACAGTCATATCTCAACAGCTACTTGATGGACAGCCATGAAATTTGGCAAATGCTTTCATGTTCCTCAGAGGCCTGCAGTCACTGCTCAACCCACGACGATTTTTCTTTTAATGTAGCACTGCTATAAGGTTGACATCAATAGTTTTTTGTGAAGGTTGCAATTATTGGATCAATTTCCAGTGAATTTGGTACAGATAAGGTTCCCAGGTTATGCATTTTAATCACTTTGGTAATCCCCTCACTTGACATATGAAATATCCAATCCATGAACTGGCACAAAAAATCTGGTAAATTCATGGTTCCCAGACCATACTGTACATCCCAACAACCTGAGACTAAATGGAATGTTAAACAACTACTGGATGGGTTGCCAAGCTTTGCCAAAAGCTCACTCTGAAATCTGCATTTTCTAAAATCAGTTCTCTCACTCTGAAAGCATCTCCCCATCTATTTCATGATACTTATGAGGGTAGTGATAGTCCGTAAGAGTTAAGCAGTGTTACCAAAGTCAACTAGATTGACATTTAAGCACAGTCAAATCAAAAACAAACATTTAATAACAATGAGCTGCAGAACTTCAGTGAACGCTGCACAGACGGGGATCACTGTGGCTCAGGAGATGGAGCGGGTCATCTCCTAACTGGAATATTAGCAGCTTGGTTCCCGGCTGGTCCGGACCACATGTCTAAGTGTCCTTGAGCAAGACACTGAACCCCGAGTTGCTCCTGGTGAGGACACCAGTGCGTGAATGGCCAAATAGTGTGAAAGCACTTTGAGTGCACTGCAATACAAGTACAAGGCCATTTACAGACAGTATGCAAAAAATGGCAGCCTTAAACTAAAAGCCCTGTTTTAGTACTTACTGTCACTATAACATTAAAAGTAAAATATACACAAACCTTCTATAAGAATCAACTTTTCTTCTTTGCCTATTAAAAAAATAGCATTGGTTATTTAAGGTTTATTGTAAATGACAAATTTATCTAACCCATATAACCCAGATTAAAAAACTACTTACGTGTATCACAGACGCTGCTTTGCAACAATGAAGCTGTTGAATCTTTGAGAGAGTTTTGCTTCTCAGTGTGTGGTTTCCTCTACTTCACATATGCTCCACACCGCCCCACTATAAGTGACCACAACCTAGGTCTAAACACTGGGTGCATACACCAATTCTGATCAACTTCGCTGTTATACCACTACCTGTTTTCAGCGAATTTCACCCCTTCCTCTAATGCCTTTCTTGACACTAGTGCCATGGTTTGGTTGGATAAATTGCTTTTAGTTAGATATAAATAGTATGTTCACCAGGTTTAATGAACTAAATGCTGCATAGTTTTCTGTAATATTTATCAATATTGGTCATCAATTGTCCATAAACTGTCTGATCTTGTTACTTCAGTATATAAATTAAAAACAGGGCCTAGATATAGTCAAACTATTATTAGGTCTATTGGAATATTGTCAGTACATTTTCTAGATTGAAAATGTTAATAAAAACAAAGGGCTTGTAGGAACACATTTCATGTAAAAATACTTACTAATACTAAAATGTGATACTTTAAGTGTACATCAATCAACAAGCTTATTCTGTAGCTGGTGTCTGTGTAAAGGGGACTTGCACAAGGTCCTACAACAAGCAATGTACACAGTAGCTAAGCTGACAGATGAGGGGGAGGTGGATCATTTCTCCACCTCAAACTTATTTGTGATCTGACCAACATGTAGGAGGGAAAGGGTGCAAGAAGAACTGCAAGGAGGTCTCACAGTAAGCTGTTACTTTAACCACCACCAGTTTACTTTGTGCATACATTAACTTTTTACCTTTTCCACCCTCCTCACTGCATCACTTTGTCTGCTCTGCGTGTCCCATGATGCATCACTGCTGCACAGCCCAGTGCTATGACCAGTATCATCAAGCCAAGCCAGATTATTTGACTGGGTGAATCCAGAAAAGAGCTAGGGGCACCATGCCATCTGTCCTATGCTGTCTACGGTTTTAGACCATTTACTACCACAGTGGCTGAGGGCTGCTATTTCACAGTATTGTAAATTAGCTACATGCACATTCTTGTAATGTGTGGTTAAGTCAGAAAAGGCATCTACGGAAATAAAGCTCAGAAGTAGTAGGACAATGTGTCATTTTACCAACAAAGTTAATAAATTGAGATTTCTCCTGTGGCTCCATTGTGGTGTAAAACGAACAGTTTAGCATTCTTTCAATACCCTACTCTTTGAGACTTGGGTTCACATCAAAATTAAAATATGCACATATTAACATGACATATACTTTTACTGTATGTAGCCTATTTTCTGTGAGGGAAACCCCCACTGTACTACAAAGCATCCAGAGCAGGTCCAGATCAGTACTGAACACTCACCACTGAAAACAGTCACAGATGAAAAGTTTGTTTACATAAAAAAGAAGGTGTAGCATATACGCAGTACATGACTTAAACATGTGTACAAAAGATACAAGGCCTATTAAAAATTAAAAAGGAGAAGGAACAAATACAAACAATTAGCAGCAGACATACAGGTCTATCAACAAACAGCAATGCAAAACTGAAGCCCTGCAGGTTCTGACAGCACAACAACAACAACAACACAACTCCAAAGGCCAAACAAGTTGCATTAGGCCTTTGTTCAGGGTGCAATATCACGTTTGACCATACAATGGCTGCGGGTTCAGGCCGTTATAACAAGGGGGCGCTGTTTTTTTTTTTGTTTGTTCTTGTTTGTTTCTCAATGAGGTAACTTAAAATGCAATATAGCTTTCAAGTGGCTGATAACACTTGTGGTTCAGAGGCATAAGCTGATTTCCTAGTAGTAGGCTAAACAGTGGTAGGACAAGAGAGATTCTTTAAAAGTAACAATACCACATTATAAAAATGCTCCAGAAGTAAAAGTCCTGCATTTAAAATATTACTTACGTAGAAGTACAAAAGTAGCAATTTGCACATTTAGAGTAGACTATCAAAAGTAATAGTAAGTCAGCTCATTATGCAAAATAGCACACTTCCCATCAATGTATATCATATTATTGGATAACAGTTATTGATGCATGTGAATTTAATGTTGCAGCTGGTAAAGGTGAAGCTAATATTAGGCCTAATTATTGCTGGGTAGCTTCCCACCAGGGATCAATAAAGGTCTTATGATTATACTACATTTTATTTAAGATTTGCAGTCAAGGGATATGGAGCCAGGCCCGGGGTTGGGGCTCGAATGCGAGCGCCTGGTGGCCGGGCCTCCCCC